CCCTTCTCGGCACCCGCACTCGTTTCTCCGGTATTGCGTTCATTTCATTACACGATGCTGACACATGTCACACCGTTGCGGATCGGTTACTCGTTAAAGAGTTAGATAACCGGCGCAGCCATGTATCCTCACGACCTTCGTGATATCTAGAGCTCTAGATACTGTGTATTTAAAAAAAACCTCCAGTATTGCACAGACAGCGGCTAAGACCGACACAATATATTTTGCTGAATCACACAAAAAGATCGATCCATCTCTTGACCACTTCACAAGTTTTTTCGCCATTTGTCCTTTACAAACCAGAGCAATTCAGCTAGATCTTGCTACAGCCAACCAATATTCGTTCTTATCCGCTTCTGTGATTTAGAAACACGACATACTATATTCTCGAATCGGCTTCGCTATACCGGACCAAATGGGTTTTGCTCACAAATGCCCTGTCTCGCATTGAGGCTATTCAGCTGGCCAGACTATGCTACAGTGTGCCGTGCAACATGCTACACACTCCGTATAGACACACTCATACACAGCGTGGCTCCGGAAAGATCCTTCAAGACATATTGGAGGATTTGCCGCTTGAAGTAACGTCAGACAGTCGAGCGAGAAGTCAACCAGGGAGCAAGCGAACGAGCGAGCGCTTGTAGGAGACACTTTAGAACTTTGGTCTTCGGACGTTAGGCTACCATCTGCCAGCTGTCAGCCACCGTCGTTCGCCGCAGCCAATCAAGACAATGCTATCCTATCCCGTAAGTTTGTTTCGGCTTAAACGCTTCAAGGTCTACTACCGCACAAGACGAAAGGAACAAAGCAACGGGAAAGAGAAACAAAAAGCACACTTCAGAGGTTCGTTCTTTTTGTTTTGCGGATTTGCTTTCGCTGCTGTTCCCGCTCAATCGGATCGGACGTAACGACAGTACTACCACCGTACTTTACCCAGGTTTCACCTAGGTTACATAATATGAACTCTACTGACCATGCAGAGCTGATCAAAACCGGGTGAATGGGCAGATCTAGTGAATGTATACTTAATTATTATATGAGTATGTATATACTGAGGTAGGCTATGAAAAATGTAAACCTGTTTTTGTCATAGTGGTATAAGTTACCAGGGCTTTTTCTAATGGTTTGACAGTCGATTTCGTCAAGGGAGGTTTTTTAACCTTCACTGTTTTACCGCAAAAAGCGTACTAGACCTAGAGACTTCGTATCATATACTAAATTTCTACAGGGATCAGCGGAAATGACTGGTTTACTGGTTCATTATATTCGTTGCATGAGAAAAATAGGATGTGTAAACGTTTACCGGCGCGATAGAAAGGATTTTATAGGCGAAATAAGGAGGTTCGCGCAGTGTCAGCCTTTGAGCAAAGGACTTTTTGGGGTCATTCAGCTAAACAAACACTTCTTAGACTTCGCTCATTATCTTAGCGGCGTCAATAGTACTTTTAAGAGAAGTATCTCTGGTATGACACCAATCACTATCGCACAGATGGAACGCCGGCACGATTGGTAAGACGTGCAAAAAAAAACCGATCACTATGCGCCTTCTAACGACTACGACTACCATTTTTACGATTCATGAGTGAAGGTTTATACCTATTGAAAAATACGCACACATACAATACTCTGCTGTACGTAGGGCTATCGAAGTGCCGCTGGTGGCTGATAGAATAGATTCACTTATCAATAACAAGCTCAGTCTCAAGAGGCACCCCGTGCCCCTTGCGCCCCTGTGAAGCTCGCTCCCTCACAGCCTCTATAGAGACGAAGCTAAGGGTTAGATAGATTTCTAAGTGGCCTTTACTGATCTTTAGCAACACAGAGCTGATGCATCCGTGCCTGAATACACTTCCCCTAAACAACGCTCCGCTTATTCAATTTTTCAACTATTCGTATATGTGAGGCTAGGTGAATGTATTGTTCCGATCGGATGGACGAAACAATCCGGACCGATCTGGGGCTGATACCCTGGCTTCATTGACGCCACCTTTCGCTGTCTCCTTCTCCTAGCATACAGATAGATAGAATTCGTTAATAGATAGAAACCGGCCAACTGGTCCGAGATCGCTTCTAAACATGTACTAACGGTTCTGCCGTAATAGATCGACGCTGATCTTGGTAGCGGTGTAGGGCTCGCATAAAGCGGCCAATAATGCCGATGATGTCTGTATAAACAAGGAGCACAATTTTTTTTTTGTTCAGAATCCAGGACGTATGAACCTTAGTTAAAACTAGAGGGTTCAAAATACTGTAATCGTTGAAATTAAATAGGAAATATTGCATATATAAATACAAACGACATTAACTAGCATGCGTTATCGTAGTGAGACTCGACATTATAACATTGACTTCACATGAAATAAACACTGTTATAACAATAGCATTTGGTTATTTACTTAATAAATTGAAGAATACACGGAATATAATTTTAGCCACGTTTTAAGAAAACATAGATTGAACTTCGGACGGATACTTACCAGATCGGATGATTGTAACCAATACGAATTGATGCCGAATAAATTAGGTAGCCCCGGGGTATATCCACGTATAATAATGAGCGTTGAAATATTAAACACCTTGCCAACTTATTCGGAATTATGCTCGGACAATCCGTCATTCGAAGTTATCTTAACGTTTTAGCATGATCCTATGATGGTATATATATATTATGTTGCGAAACTTGGCAGAGCCTATAAAACATAATAAACATCCACTGATTGTGGTACAGTGAGACCTTTACCTTAAACTTAAGAGCTTTATTAGTATGGTTTCCTTGCTAAATAGCTTGGTGTCTTGCTATTGATCACCGTTTTTTTTATTTTTGAAATTTTTTGAAATTAATTGAATGCCAGGGTACGAGAAAGCAGTTTTCCATGTCACCAACTTTTCCGTTCGTTAAGTTAAGCACATTTTGTATCTTAACAAGTAGACAGCGGGCAAATTTACCATCTTCATGGGTTTTCCCGGTGCACAAGATTTTTTTCGTGAGCAGAGTTGCCCCATGCCGTTTCATAATATTCAAGAACAAAGAATTAATTGCAATTATAAACAAATTAATTAAAACGTGTTTGAGTTATAAATATGTCGCCGAGGACAAGCAAACCCGATCGTGTCTACGGCACGGGGCAGTGGTCAACAACCCTCGCATCCAGCTGTTACTGAAATGCTGTGTTTGTTGTAACCAGTCAGCGAGCGTTCCCTAGACGCCCCAAGGACGCCAACAGGCTCATGCTATAAACAGACAGAGAAAGTCTCGGGTCTGTTGGTGCTGCTGCCATCATATTAACGATGACGAAAGACGAAATGAAATGCTTCTTCAGTCCCTACAGTGAGCGAGAGCCTTTTCGTGTGTTTCGCCGCAGTGTCGCCAACGGCCGATGTCGTAAGGCCCCAGATGCCCACAAATAGAATGCCACCATGACTGTATCGCCGAGAGATATAAGATCACGCAGACCCATAAACAAGCAGTGCGGCTTACATGACCACGTTCGTTAGTCAATTCCAAAAATAATGAATATTAATTGTCGATGAGGAATCCGCGGTGTATTAGCGTTGCTGAGCTCTCGTTTGGCCTATCCGCTACGGGTGCGATCGTAACTGCTGTCGTTCGAGTCATCGATCTAGCCACGTCGCGACGAGGCCTCCGAGCATTAGCAGTCACCGTTTACCAATGAAGAACGATTACCTAAATTATTCCATTGGCTATAATAAGCGGACTGCTTCGTAGGACCTTTATTGCCACAGTCGCGTATTGTCAACAGCAAACGATTAGATAAAACTATCCTTGACTAAGTAGTCCGTATGCCGAAGTAGAAACGGTGCCGTTTGTTGAAAAAATAATAACTAAGTTCTAGCAAATTGGGTCTATTTGAAAGTTCAGCAGAAATGCTTGCATATTACAAACGTAAAGATTGCTTTAAGTATATATACATAATACTAATAGGACGAGTCATAACCGGATGAATGCCAGGACCGTGCAGATGACGGGCTCACCCTGAATAGTGGCCTGCGCGCCACTACACTCATTGCTTTCACCACTAATATTATGTTTCATAGAAACGTACCGCGCTTTGTTATTGATAGAGTGCCAAGAGCGGACAAACCCTACAATTATACCATCGCACCTTACGACGTCTATAGCACCCAACTACCCCCATCGCCACGGTTGTTGCAGACAACCTGCCACTTCTGCTTGAGTCACCTGTCCACGCAACATGTGTACCAGTATAAATATAATATATATGCGTGCTTACATACATAAGACATTAAAATTTCTATTGAAAAGTGGACAAATTGAAAATTTAAAATCAAGTTTAGACTCGATAGCGGAGATTCATAAAGTTGGGTCTCAGAATTTCAGTTCTTCAGAATTTCAGTTTTTCAGACTTCGCCAGGCATCTACTAGGATCGAGTGTGGCATTTTTATCGAATGATATATTCAAAAATGTGTTTTATGTCAGGAATGCCTCTGAGCGAATTGACGATGGGTAACAAGAGCTGATACTGTGTGAGTGCTACTGTTGCAGCGTATTGAACCCCGTCGGCAACCTGGTGCGTGATAGCGTTCCTGGCGAGAGTCTCAAACGTTATGAAGAGTGAGACTACGAGAAAGGTAAAGCACTGGTTTTGAGCTGATCTAATTAATTTTGTAACAAATAGAGCTATTCAAGAGAGAAACATGGATGATATGTTCTTTTATCTGCATTATTTTCACAGGCACAATACTACCATGCTATTTGTGTAGTTGTGTTTTCTTCAATCGATTTTTAGATTTCCCTATTATTTCTATTCATAAGTAGTTAGTTATATTTTGAGCGAGTGTTTTTTTTTTTGTTATTGTGATTCGCACCTGCGACGACTTGCAGTCATCCGTCAATTGGTCCTACTGCTCCTACCGTTCACAACGTCATCAGCCGACCCCTTTTTATGTGTGAAACTATACTTTTATTCGATCTGTGTTCGGTACACCTATTCATTGGAATAAATTGGCAATCACTTACCGTTCCGTGTGTCGATATCCTGCGCCCAGTCGGGTTCACGACAGTGAACTACCTGCCCAGTCCAGGGCACTACCGCTAGTCCGACAACCAGCAGTATCAACAACAACTCCACTTGCAGTGGGTTCATAGCGTCGGCATTCAGTAGGGTATCCCTTTGAAGTTATCGGGTTGGCCAGACGGAAACCTGCTACGGCACTTCCTCTTCGGTATTTTCACGCGGCTTTTTCGCTTGGGACACTTGAACTTGCTCGGAGCAATAAACTACCTAGGTAAGCCAGTAGGCAAATAACCAACGAAGTTATACAGCTATTCCCACGTTGTTTTTGATTGCTCGCACCGGACTGAAAAAAGCACAACACGCAGTCGTCGTTACTTGTCCACTTTCGTATCACGCCGTTATCACTTGTTTCCGTTTTCTCGACTATCACGCACAGTTCTACGAGGGTCACTGTTCATTTTATTTAATACACAGTTGATTGATGCGACCGGAAGTCGGCTCGGAAAAGGAGACGAACGTGGTACGGAAGAACTCATAATGCCAGACCATTACCTTACTACACTACCTATAGGTGCGGAGGGATCTACAGCAAACGAAATATACAAACTGATTCACAACAAACACTCATTCAGAGGCTGGGTCACAGTCTGTCTGGATACTACCATGCACCGAATACCGACCGACCGACCGACCTTCGAGCGAACAACCTGTTATGGCCGCTATGGCAAGCACTTCGCTTTAGAATCACTTGTGGAATCAATGAACGTGTAATACTATAGGTTGGTATTCTTGGTGGCAAAAACTTAGACCTTCTTTGTCGCACATGATGCTGATATCATTGCAAAGAGACTCTTGTTTTAACTGCAGAGTACTCAAGAGACGTAGTCGCGTTACGCCCCAGTTGCAAAATCCAGTTAGAGCCCAGCTGCTGCTGGTGCTGCTGCTGCTGCTGTTGCTGCCGCTTCTTCTTCTTCTTCTTCTTCTTCTTCTTCTGCTGCTGCTGCTATTGTGGAATGATTCCATGCGCGGCTCAAATCAGCAAATCGCGTTGAACTTTGTCCTTCGTGTGCATCATCGCACAATTCTTCCTCTGGCGGGAAAAACTGCGCCCATGCTTACGAGTGTATTTTCGACGCTTTTGCCGCTTATGTCACATACAGTAACACGCGCCACGAACGTTCCGTTGACGTCGTCGACGACAATCCGACCTGGTCATCCAGATGACTCTAAAATGAACGAAGAAGGATCGAAGAATATAGGTACAACTATGTACAGGCGTACCTTTAAATGTTTAGTTGTTATACGACAGGTGCACACTCGGCCTCGCTCTAAGCACTTTTCTGTCCTTGTACTGCAGAGTTTATATTATTAGGACCCAATGAAAACATACTTCAGTACGCTTTTAATGCCACCGTCTCAATCCCATAGACGCATCGGTGACACTTTGTTTTTGTTGTTATTTCGTATATGTCATCATATGTTGCCACACGTTATTTCGTTAGCCAGACAGTATCGCTCATTAGCTGTTTCGTCCACTCAAGTAACGAACTCATCGGCACAATCTGCGTTAACGCTTCAACAGACTACCCTGCCTAAACGTCTACGCTTGTATTCTAGCGGGCGTCTTAGCTGCGCAAGTGCTGTCAGCTTGTGCTCGACCGTCCACTTGCGAGATGTTCCCCAGAGTCGGTGTTCCTAACTCTCTTCACTTCGTGGAGAGGGCCGCATGGCTGTAAAATAACGAGTGAGGGCACGGAGGAAGGTAATGCCGAAGGAAGTGACAGGCGGCAAGTAACGGCACGATGACCAGCTAACCAAGGGTAAGCCAGACAGGAAGTGGGGGACCAAGCAGCTAGGATGCGACTAGCATGGTCCTGCTGTGTTCGTCGTGGGGAGAATCTGGCTAGACTGTAGGGAAAAACACTAAAAAAAGGGACTTACCACTAGACGTTTGCTCTGCTTGGCTTACGACAACCGAACAAGCAAAGAGCCGATAGTGGCCTATGGATATGTTGACATTCGGACATGCTACCACGGTAGAGTGCGGCCAAGAGAAAAGATGGTTGAAGCGGCATGAGGTGGTATTGTCTTGGTATATACATGCGAATATGGTAGAGTTTGTCTGGTGGAGACGATGATGGGGCACGTGGTGTTCTATAGAGTAATAATATTGAAAGAGACATTGGGAGAAGAAATGCGAAGTGACTTCGTGTTGATAGAAAATTGAGGAAGAATCAAGTTTCAACAACTACAAGTTACGGGTGTAATTGTTGCAAGGCTCCGTTAAGGGTTGCCCATAGGAAAGCTCGTGCGGAGTGGCAAAGCAGAAATTTCACCGTTAGGAAAATGAACCATACGTTTGCATATGACGAATGTATAAACGAGTACTACGGAAACGTTTTGTAGGGCGCTTACTTTTCAATCCGAGTAAAGGCAGGCACATTTCGAGCCTCGAGCAAAAACCACTCGGTTTACATAGATTGCTTATATTGAGGGCTCTACGCTGACACATTCTTGAAACAATGCTACACAAGTTGAGGCAACTCAGGTATCGTACAAGGCTTTTGAAACGGTGTTTTTCGCTCCGTAAACCTTCGTAAACGAACGGCTTCGACTTTTCAATTATTTTATGTGTTCGGCCATTGCTACACACAGTTTCGTTCAATTGCTTACGTTGTTCCGAAGACACATAAATCGTCTTGCTGGTCTGAAGTATTAGCCAGGAAAGCCAGATCTTCTTTTGCCAAAAATAATGGATCTCTTTCAAACTGGCGATTTGCATTACGTATTCTATACATTTTTATAACAGATTACTTGATAAGCATGCCCAATGCTTCCTTCTTCTATATTTCGTGATCGTTTGCTTCATCAGCTGTGTCGATTACGTATGCGCAAGCAAATAGGATCTTCGTTACCTTCACGTGGCTTCGACAGTTCCCCTTCATTCTTGAAATCGTTGATAAGTAGCTCAACTGTGGCCAGCCTGACTCCTATCGCGTTTTGTTTAGCTGCGCATAGTTCTTTCTCTTAATAAGAAGCGTATCGGCCGTAGGTGCAGCCGTATTTTTACGAATATTACAACTACGATAATAAATTCTAACTAACATAATAGGTTCAAGAAGAATGCGGCGACTGAGACAGAAAAGGAAGAAAATGTGGACTTCAGAGATTAGCGTGTTAAACGTATCACGTCTGGAAGCTCGGTTAGACCGTGTCTCCTCATTTTTAAGATCATGTGACCCATCCCGATGTCAGGATGAAGCTACCACCGTGGCGTCCACTGATCCAACAACTGTTGATGCCAGTATTGAAGCCGTCAGTTAGTTGACTCGTAGGGCCAGTAGCGTCCTTGTTTTTCGTACTATGTGCCACTGCTGGTGTTATTAGCGTCAAAAGAGGTAATAATGACGATAGTGAGGGCCGGAAATTTCCGACGATACTTCCTCAACATTTCTGTCCTTTCTTCTTTTCTATTCAATCTTCAGATGACCGCCCTCTGTTTACTAGCCCAAGTTTCAATTGAGTTAAGTGAACTAACGTAGTCTTCAAACTAGCCACGCCCACGAGGGCAAGTGGTTTTGCGGCGGCTGGCTCTATTTATCAAGTCAACTGGTTTCAAATGCTTGTCGAATTGGGCATCCCTGCGACGCGTACTCCGCCACGGTCAGTCAACCGTTTCGAGTTAGAGAACGTCAGGCAGAGATTTTCTGCCCCCTACTTGGGAAGTTTTGAGAGTATAAAGATGTAGATACGATTGGCGGCAGGCCATGCAAGTTGAGTAACTTGGCGACTACTTAGAAGGTTAACTTTTGTAGCCGCTGCAAACCTAGCAGATATTGCATGTATGGTTCGGCGCTCGACACCTACTGGGCAAAACCGCACTGTCGTGGAAACGGCCCCTGTAAATTGTGCCCTTTGCTGTTGATCGTAGTGAGCCTTGCTCATTATTGATACTCACACAAACGGATATCCTCCTGACGATAGGTGCGAATACAAGTCGCTTGCCAGGTAAACCAGTTATATAAGAAATCGGCCGTGAAAATTCTAGTATACTTAATCAAGCAACTATATTATAAAAATACAACACCGATAACATATATTAAGATACTATACTAAGAATATATATCAATAGATATACGAATGGATGGGTAGTAAGCAAACAATCGAAAATATTATATAGTGGGCACTCCTATTGATTTAAATATAAGAAAGGGTCCAAAGTAAATAATCCTCATCAAAGCAATCGATTCGGTGGCCGATTTCATCTCTCTGGTATTATGGCATATGATAATCGAACTTAGGTTTTCCTCATTTTTTTGTAAAATAATTCCCTATGATTTCCATGGTCTCTATCGCTTTCGCTATTTGCGCCTATAATTTGTGTGTCCCCTGGTCTCGACCGAAGTGATCCTAATTCAATTGGTTCAATCCTAATGACAGTTGAACAGAATAACGCTCCGAGATTAAGCTTAATATATAGAACAAATGAGCTTGATAAGTTCCAATTCTCTGATATTTCCGAGCAAAAAAACTTGAAACCCGCACTCAAATATTTTCCACAGATATAATAAGAAAAGCGAATAATTTCATACTTCGGTGCAATTAATTTTACGCCCTCTGCTATGGAAAGATGATTAAAAGCTACATACATTTTTTCTATATATGTATATATATTTACTGTACGATATAATTCTGGTCTTTATTTATATTCTATAATATCAGAAATTGATAGTCTTGAAATGATAACTAATAATCCTACATCAGAAATAATTTTCAAGTTACCACGAATGAAAAATAGATTGAATAAATCAGAAATCTTGTGTTCAGCACATCTGATCACGAATAATTGGTTATTCCTCGATCCCTAGCCTTAGCGACCTTTGAATGAACTAAGGCTTCTAAATGAGTCCTGCTCGCTGAGGCAACCAAATCGGCATATTTTCACAGTGAAAATCTATCAGAAACTTCTTAAAGCGCTCGGTGGCACCATATCATTCGAGGCATTTCTGATTAACCGATTACCAGCCCGTACCTCAAAAGTAGTCACTACCGAGCGGAGGAGGCGGCGCGTAACTCTGTTCTGCCATTATCGTGAACTATGCGTCCTCGCTCAAAGACCACCACGACAACAACAACAGAGCACAATAACAGCAGCGTAAATAACGACAACGGCGCCAACAAATGTCTAATAGAAGCCTATGCAGAGGACATCCAAGGCACAGCTGCCAAATGGGTCGTGTTTGAGATAACATTCTAATGTGACCGAAACCGCTAGCCGCAGGAGTCGGCCCTCTGGTGCCCTGAAGTCTTTAAGCACAATACGCAAAGTTTTGAGAAGGATCGGCTGCGATTTGGAGGCATCTTGGGACAGCGGTGGAAGCAAAGGTTTCTACTAATACCCGCTATGCAATCAAGACTGCGAGATTTAGCCATTTTCCATTTCTCGTGCTTATCCCGCGCTTTGGAAGCAGGTCTTGGACCGGCTGTATTATGGACTATAACGCTCCAGCAGTCGAAGTGATACTTACGCCTAACCATCGGTCAGGACAAACTCTGGCCGGCTAGTAAATTCGCATGTCTATATGGCGTCCTTGTTATCACCTATCGCACCCTTACTAGTGTCCCACATAGAGGCAATAGCGTCTGTGACTTGGGGAAGAGGCAGTCAGTCAGTCAAGCAAACGCACCCGGACAATGTCAGCGGACCTCCTGTTTCGCTTTGAGACCGGCATCGTCCGACTCATATGGCCGTCGACCGAACTAAGTAGAATTTTCCAACATAATACAGCTGCTGCTGCTGCTTGCGCCTGCAAACCAGTCGAGCTATCGGAACACAGTCTTCGGCAGCGGGTTCACGCTTGATTTGCCCAATTCTCCCGCCATCCCAGCAAGTCGCAGGAGCGACGGACACAGTAGCCAGGCGGTTTCCATCGTCGTAAACGCTGTCATCGTGAAAACGTGTCTTATCACTGCCCGCTACGGCATTTAAAAGGGTAGAAGCAGAGACGGCGGCCCTTCCTGTCGCTGGACGCCTGCAGCAAAGACGACTACGGACTCAGCTACTGCATTCGACGATAAAGGCTCGCCTGCCGGAAAGTCCGCGTAGGTTATGGACAATCTAGCCAGCGGTTTTGCAGTGCCATGGAGAACGCTGCCAAACTGCCTCCTTTGAATCGGCGCCGATGCCTGCTGGCAGTGGCGATCGCCGATGAACAGGATCGCCATTGCCGGTGCAAAACGGAGAGCAACCGCGCACAATCCACCGCGGACCCTCTGTCCCCTCTCTTCGCTCTCGGCTTTTCAACCCCCGACAACTCTCGGAGACTAGAAGAGTATGGTGTGAGAAAGAAAGTTGATTTTGACGCTGTGGTAAGCAGCGGACCAGTACTATATAGCTCGGAGCTAGTAGGAGGCTTTGTTACTCCCCCTCGTTCGCTGATGGTGATGGAGTTATTGTCGTCTTTGCGTTCGTCAAAACTCGTCAGATTTAGATTGAGCCATAGAAGCTACTGAAGGGGCGAACTAAGCCATGCAAGCACCGCCCCCGTGCGGTAAGGGTTAGCAAAAAATGCTAGTGAACTTCGAAGCGTCCATGTGTCAGTAGGC